GGTACGGCCCGGGCGAGTACCCCCGCCGGCTGCGCATCTTCCTCGGCAACAAGAGGGAGATCGAGGAGCACAACGCCGGCAACCACAGCTTCCAGAGTAGGAGCCGCGTCCCCAGCCCCCGGCCCGCCCTGGCTCGGGCTGCGGGCTCTGATCCGCTGAGCAAAGCCTTCCCTCCTTCTTCCAGTGGGCCTGAACCAGTTTTCAGATCTGACCTTCGCTGAGTTTAAAAAACTGTACCTGTGGAGAGAGCCCCAGGTGAGCCCGGGGAGCGTGCTGCGGGCGGGGAGGAGGGGTCCGGCAGGACGGCGGGCCCCGAGGCGCGGGGGGGGGGGGGGGGCCCGGCGGGCGGGCGGCCCCCGAGCCGCGGGGGTCGGCGCCCCGTCGCTCTGCTGCCCGAGATCCGCTTTGCCCCGTCCCGCCGGAGCCTGGGTAAGAGCGAGGTGACCCCCATCCCCTGCCTCCCCAGCTTTCGGCCGCCTCTGCCTCCTGCCCCGGCGCCAGCTGAACTGTCCCTTCTGCTTTCAGCTTTGCAGGTTGATCTGTATTTTTATGGGTAGACCTAAGGCCTGACGCCGGCTGCTTGGGGAGTTCGGAGCTCCCTGAGCAGCTCGGGCAGCGCGGCCGGGGGCGCGGGCTGGTAGTGCTCTTCCAGGGCTGGCCCAGGTCTCCCCAGCTGCGTGGCAGTCACCGCTCCCGCCACCCCGGGGAGGGCGGCCGGCCATGGGCCACCATCCCCCAGCACGGCGCCTCGCCGCAGCCCTCCCGCCTCGCTTGCAGAACTGCTCGGCCACGAAGGGGAACTTCCTGCGCAGCTCCGGGCCGTATCCCGACTCCATCGACTGGAGGAAAAAGGGAAATTACGTGACGCCCGTGAAAAACCAGGTGAGGAGCCTGTGTCATCGGTGACGCACCAAGAGCAGGCCGGGAGAGGGGCTCACCGCTGCAGGCAGGGCACCGTGCCGGGAGGAGGAGTGCTGGGGTGTGTGGGGAAGCAGGCTCCCCCAGGACCCCCTCCACGGCTGGGGCAAGGGTGGCCAGGGGGGTCTGGGGCAGCCGTGGGCAGGGGATGAGCGGAAGGCGAAGCCTGGCTGCCGGCAGAGAGTGGCAGTGCTGTGCTCCTGGCGTGCCCTTCTGCCCCAGCCCCGGTGTTTCGGGGAGGCCGGTGACGCCACGGCACGTTACGGAGCAGTTCTTCTCCGGTTCCTGACGCAGGGCGCCTGCGGGAGCTGCTGGACCTTTTCCACCACGGGGTGTTTGGAGTCTGCTATTGCTATTGCGACAGGAAAGCTCCTCTCTCTGGTAAGAGATTTTCCTTTCCTGTGCGCTGACGGCAAGTCCCGCCTCTGGTTACCCACCGGGGCCGGCACAGGGGCCAGCCTGCTCCTGGCCGGGACAGCCACCGGCTGCTTGTTCCGAGTCCGGCTGTGCATCGCTGCATGCGGCTGTGGCAGGCACCCCCAGCCCTGCAGCCCCCTCGCTGCTCTTCCCAAGCCGAACAAAACTGCTGGGGAGGTGCGAGGGCAGCGCGGCCAGGAGCTCGCTGTGCCCGAGGCTGGGCCTGTCGCCATCCCCTCTCGGGGCCTGAACATCCCACTGCCCCGGGCTTGGGCAGAGCCCTTTTCGGAGCAGGACAAAACCGGAGGGGCCGGAGGGTGACGGTCCCTGCCCCTGGGGTGTTAGCTAACCTAGCGTGGTTAGCTAGAGCCGTGTCTGGTGCTGCCAGCCGGCAGGAGCCCCTTGCTGCAAAACAGCTTGCTGCAAGCAGCACGTTGTGAGACTGCTTATTTTTAAACTCCCAGAGGATTTATGTTCTCGAAGAACCAGAAAGACAGTAGCCGCTTACGTGACTTATCAGAATAGCTGGGGGTTGGGTGTAAGTGTTAAAAACGAACTTGACCTTTGAAAGAGATCTCAGCCAGCGCTCCCGCGGGTGGGACGGGGTCCCGGCAGGCCTGAGGAGGAATGCCTCCTGCAGCTGGAGCATCCTGGGCCGCCGGCTCCACGTCTTCCTCGTCCTGCTCCTTGGGACGTGGAGCCGTTCAGCCGGGTGACTCCCGCTCGCGGCGGGTGAACAGCCAGCCGCACGGGTAAAACCAGCGCTCTGGTTGCCTGCCACGTGGGCTGCGTTCTGTCTCGCTTATCCGAACGCAGGTGGTGAATATATACTGACTCAAAAAACTCTTCTGTAGGCGGAACAACAGTTAGTTGATTGCGCTCAGGCTTTTAACAACCATGGCTGCAGTGGGTAAGTAATATAAGGTAACAAAAAGTAGAAATAAGAGTGTCTTATGTTCCATGACTGACAGCCTTCCTCAAGATCTAGTGTTGGGGTCCTTCCAGATCTTGGAATGGTTTTTGTTTCCCCTTGGCTGAGATGTGTCAGGGAAAAGAGTTTTGGGTGTGGTTTGCTTTGCTTATTTTAATTTCACCCTCCCTAGAGGTTAGAACCTTTGACTAAATCTCCAGCATTTCCTAACCTCTGTTGGTCCTCTTGTTTGTTAGTTTTTCTTCTGATATTTGTTTTGCTACAACGTCTTCTGATACCGCAGTCACGGTAGCCAGGCTTTAACATGCTCAGGAAAAACACGGGGAGTTTTATCTGTTGCTGTGCTCATGGGTCACACGCATCTCATGGCGCTTTAAGGAACCCGCAGAAACCTCTGCTTCCCCTTTGGTAAATTCCATGCTGGCATTGCTAGAGAAGACAGAAAGTAAAGCTTTCTGAAATCTTAGGTTTTCTGTAAGATAAGCAGTCCCCGAGGAATGTTCAGAGAGCTGAGCAAAACCACTCTTGGTGCTTTTTATTTTTCTCATCACTCCTCCTTATCCTCTCCTTGCGAGCACGCCCTGATCACGCTCCCCTTTTCTTCCTTCTGCGAGACGTGGAAGCAGCTGCTTGCTGGCGGTGTGGGTCCCTTGTTCCCCCCGTGCTGCGTAGCTGGGGGCCCCGGCCAGGCTGGGCAGAGGCCACAAAAACCACCTTTCGGTGCACGAGGCTGCAGGGCTGAGCTGGCACGGTTGGCGCCGTGGGGGTGAGGTGGCCTCGCGCCTTCGGGGCTCCTGCGTTGGCATTTTCCCCAGGGATTAGGCACCCCTGAGACTGAGGCCTTCCCCTGCCTGTGTAGGACCATGCCAGGCAGCGTGATGGGCAAGGCCAGGAGTCCCAGACAGGGAGGTGCTGCAGGAACAGACTGGAGTTTCTGCCTTTAGAGGGTCTGGGATCCACGCTGTCCTTCCCTTTCCCCCCGCTTTGCAGGACCAGTCTGTAGGACTGCGGGGGAAGGCTGTTGGCTTTGCTCTGCAGAAGCTGCAGCGTTACCGTCCTAATTAATCTGCATTCTGGCTGTGTTGTCTTGCAGGGGCCTGCCAAGCCAAGCCTTCGAATACATACTGTATAACAAAGGGCTCATGGGGGAGGACACCTACCCGTACCGGGCCAAGGTATTTCCAGCGCAGCTGAGACGCCTTTCTGCAGCGGCAGAGCAGGGCCCAGAGCAGGCTCTAACGCCGGTTCCTTTCTGTCTGCGCAGAATGGCACGTGCAAGTTCCAGCCGGAGAAGGCTATTGCGTTTGTCAAGGATGTTATCAATATCACGCAGGTAAGG